ATTGGGTTTAAGAGCTCTCTCCATGAGAGTGATGGCTGAAATAAGGAGAAGGTGAAATTACCAAGAAAGCAAAAAAGCAGAAGGAGCAGGGAGCCCCCACTCTCTTTCAGGGAGTCAAAGAAGCGAGAGGAGGGAGGAGTCATCCAGGGGCTGGGAGGAGAATCAGACAGGAGCCATCCTTGGCCTCTGGGGCATCTTCAGGCACACACTCTGGGGTGTCTGCTTGTTATCCACACTGGTGCCTCCCTCCATCTTACATGTCTTTATTCCCAGGTTAGGCACATAACAGGCACCATGGATTAATAAATACATGTACAACAAAGGGTGAGTGTTACACATGGCGGATGCTGAGAGCAAGAGGTAAAAGATGAGGCTGGAGACACGTCTACTAGGTGTGATGACCAGGAGGCTGTTGTCACTGGTTATCTTCAACAGGGGCAAAGTTCCGGGGTGGAATCCAGGACTCAGAGAGCCAAAGATAGGCATTTCCCACTGTCCACGGCCCATCCTGTGCCCTCCTCAGCACCCGGATCTGAGCACTAAAGCTTTTCCATGTTTTATTTGCATGTTTCACCGGAGCTGTGTTGACCAGTAAAGAACTTGTGCTTTTCCCACCATCCCATCCCATACCATCCCAGCCCATGCCTTTAATTATGCAGTGGGGCATTGGTCCCTTGGTCCTTTGGGGTCACACACACCCTGATTTAGCCGGCGGTACAGGACGCGACCAGCAAATGCTGGCCAGGAACTTGAAGGCCTGCTTTGAAAGCTGAGAAATGAGTGATGCAGATTCCTAGGACAGTAACTAAGGATCACCAGGATAACATGGGAAGACTTGAGAGGGTTTATTGCCTGGAGTTTCCTCGGGCTTGGTCTTGTTGTTCTCTTGGAACACCAAGCCTCATAAATACAATCATCAAAGCTCCCCTAATGTTCAGAATTAATGACTTCAGTTGTGTCCTATGGCAGCTGCCCTTTGAAAACCATCCCAGTTTCTGCCAAAGTTATAAGTTGCTTGCGCTGACTGCAACAATGGAAGAAAATGCCCTCGTTGGCAGATTTTGTGGCTGTCGCCCATCAGCTCTTAGACTCACTGCTCTTCAGCCACGGACATCCCTGCATTCCCTGCCTCCAGATGCAGACAGCCTCTGAAATAACACCAGGTAGAGTGGGCAGAACCCATGGACCTGTCCCAGCCCCTGGATGGTCTCCAGGATTAACTGAAAGGGTAACCCTGTATGCATTCCTGTTTGCACCTGACCTGAAAAACGCCCTTCTTTGGGGCTAGGGGAAACTAGACCAAATGGGGCATCTAGAAGCTGTTGAATCAGGAAACCTTAACTCAGGTGCAGGACAAGGAACCAGGCCTGAAGCCAGAGACTCACTCCTACCAAGCAAGGGTGTGGTTTGAAAATTATAGGAAGCCAGTGTAGGGAAGGTCTACAGCAGAGAGCACCTGAGATGAGAAAGCCCAGGTGGGAGCCAGAACAGGTGCCAGGAAAGAGGCCAGCAGGAGAGACCAGCTCTGTGGGCATTAGCCCTGTGGCCCTACCAGAAGCAAGTATGGAGACC